GGTTGGGTCCTGGAGGCCCGGGGGGGCGGGGCAGGGCAGGGGGTTGGGTCTTGGAGTTTGGAGGCCAGGGGTTGGATCTTGGAGACCGGGGGGGGTTGGGCCTTGGAGTTTGGATGCCAGGGGGTTGGGTTCTGGAGGCCATGGGGTGGCTTTTGGAGGCCAGGACAGGGGTTGGGTCCTGGAGGCCCAGGGGGGCGGGGCAGGGCAGGGGGGTGGGTCTTGGAGTTTGGAGGTCATGGGGTGGCTTTTGGAGGACAGGACAGGGGTGGGGGCTGACCGGTCTCGGCTGTCTTGACAGCGGTGTCGATGAGGCCCTCGCGCCCCCCCATGGCGTGGAAGAAGAACTCGGTGGGGGTGAGCCCGGCCAAGTAGGAATTTTCGACGAAACCTCGACTTTCGGGGCCGTAATCGTCTTTGATGAAGTGGGGCAAGGTGCGGTGTTTGAAGCCGAAGGGGATGCGTTTGCCCTCCACGTTCTGCTGTCCCACCACCGCGATCACCTGCCGGGGAGGTGGGAGGAGATGGGCTTGGGGTGGGGTAGGGTGGGGACCACCCCCAGACCTCATAAAGATCAACCGTTCCCAGTCTGGAGGGATCCCCAAGGGCTCCAGGAGATGTTCACCTTGGTGACCAACATCTCCATGGGCCATCGTGATGACCACAGGGTCCCCTTGGAGCCAAGAGGAACGCCAGCGATCAACTTCATGGCCCAAAGCTCTTAGGTGGGATTCCCAAAACCATGTAGGGAACGTCCCAAGGGCCTGGAGAGATTCCCCAAGGTATCTGGGAGATGTTCATCTTGGTGACCAACATCTCCATGGGCCACCACAATGATCACAGGGTCCCTGCAGACTCAAGAGGGACCCCCCAGTCCATCAACCTGGTGCCCCAAAGCTCTTAGGTGGGATCCCAAAACCATGTAGGGAACATCCCAAGGGCCTGGAGGGAACCCCAAGGGCTCCAGGAGATGTTCCCCATGGACACCAAGGTCATCATGGGCCACCACGATGACCATGGGGTCCCTTCAGACTCAAGACGGACCCCCCCAGTCATCAACCTGGTGCCCCAAAGCTCTTAGGTGAGATCCCAAAACCATGAAGGGAACATCCTGAGGGAACCCCCAGGTATCTGGGAGATGTTCCCCACGGACACCAACATCTCCATGGGCCATCACGATGACCCACAGAGCCCCCCCGGAACCACAAGGAACCCCTCATGGTCAAGTTCATGGCCCAAAGCTCTTAGGTGGGATCCCAAAGCCACACAGGGAACATCCCAAGGGCTTGGAAGGATCCCAAACAGCTCCAGGAGATGTTCATCTTGGTGACCAACATCTCCATGGGCCATCGTGATGACCACAGGGTCCCCTTGGAGCCAAGAGGAACGCCAGCGATCAACTTCATGGCCCAAAGCTCTTAGGTGGGATCCCAAAACCACGTAGGGAACGTCCCAAGGGCCTGGAGAGATTCCCCAAGGTATCTGGGAGATGTTCATCTTGGTGACCAACATCTCCATGGGCCACCACAATGATCACAGGGTCCCTGCAGACTCAAGAGGGACCCCCCAGTCCATCAACCTGGTGCCCCAAAGCTCTTAGGTGGGATCCCAAAACCATGTAGGGAACATCCCAAGGGCCTGGAGGGAACCCCAAGGGCTCCAGGAGATGTTCCCCATGGACACCAAGGTCATCATGGGCCACCACGATGACCATGGGGTCCCTTCAGACTCAAGACGGACCCCCCCAGTCATCAACCTGGTGCCCCAAAGCTCTTAGGTGAGATCCCAAAACCATGAAGGGAACATCCTGAGGGAACCCCCAGGTATCTGGGAGATGTTCCCCACGGACACCAACATCTCCATGGGCCATCACGATGACCCACAGAGCCCCCCCGGAACCACAAGGAACCCCTCATGATCAAGTTCATGGCCCAAAGCTCTTAGGTGGGATCCCAAAGCCACATAGGGAACGTCCCAAGGGCTTGGAAGGATCCCAAACAGCTCCAGGAGATGTTCATCTTGGTGACCAACATCTCCATGGGCCACCACGATGACCACAGGGTCCCCTTGGAGCCAAGAGGGACGCCAATGATCAATTTCATGGCCCAAAGCTCTTGGGTGGGATCCCAAAACCACATAGGGAACATCCTGAGGGATCCCCAAGGTATCTCGGAGATGTTCCCCATGGACACCAACATCTCCATGGGTCACCATGATGACAATGGGGTCCCCTCAGAATCAAGAGGGACCCCCCAGTCATCAAACTGGTGCCCCAAAGCTCTTAAGTGGGATCCCAAAATCATGTAGGGAACATCCCAAAGGCCTGGAGGGATCCCCAAGAGCTCCAGGAGATGTTCCCCATGGACACCAGCGTCATCATGGACCCCAGGGAGATCCCCCAAACCCCACCCAGACCCTCCTGGCAACCCACCAGACCCTGTAGGGGCCCCCCAAAACCCCCTGGAGCCCCCCAAGACCTGGGAGATGTTCATTATAGAGCTCTTGGTGCCCAATGCCACCACAGAGTGCCAAGATGACCCCACAGAGGCCTACAAATCCCAAGAGGAACCCACCCAAACCCCACCCAGATCCTCCTGGCAACCCACCAGGCCCTGTAGGGGCCCCCCAAGACCCCACAGAGCTCTCCAAGACCTGGGAGATGTTGATTTTGGAGACTTTGGCGGCCGACACCACCATGGGGTGCCAAGATGACCCCAGAGAGGACTACAAAACCCAAGAGGAGCCCACCCAAACCCCACCCAGATCCTCCTGGAACCTCCCTCAGACCCCATAGGCACACCCCCAAGACCCCCTGGAGCCCCCCAATACCTGGGAGATGTTGGTTATGGAACTCTTGGTGCCCAACACCACCATGGGGTTCCAAGAAGACCCCAGAGAGGCCTACAAAACCCAAGAGGAACCCACCCAAACCCCACCCAGATCCTCCTGGCAACCCACCAGGCCCTGTAGGGGCCCCCCAAGACCCCACAGAGCTCTCCAAGACCTGGGAGATGTTGATTTTGGAGACTTTGGCGGCCGACACCACCATGGGGTGCCAAGATGACCCCAGAGAGGACTACAAAACCCAAGAGGAGCCCACCCAAACCCCACCCAGATCCTCCTGGAACCTCCCTCAGACCCCATAGGCACACCCCCAAGACCCCCTGGAGCCCCCCAATACCTGGGAGATGTTGGTTATGGAACTCTTGGTGCCCAACACCACCATGGGGTTCCAAGAAGACCCCAGAGAGGCCTACAAAACCCAAGAGGAACCTACCCAAACCCCACCCAGATCCTCCTGGTAACCCACCAGGCCCTGTAGGGGCCCCCCAAGACCCCCTGGAGCCCCCCCAAGACCTGGGAGATGTTGATTATGGAGCTCTTGGTGCCCAACACCACCATGGGGTGCCAAGATCACCCCAGAGAGGCCTACAGAACCCAAGAGGAACCCACCCAAACCCCACCCAGATCCTCCTGGCAACCCACCAGGCCCTGTAGGGGCCCCCCAAGACCCCCTGGAGCCCCCCAATACCTGGGAGATGTTGATTTTGGAGCCTTTGGCGCCCGACACCACCATGGATTTGAAGTTGTTGTATTCCGAGAGGGATTTTTGGGCGGAAGAACCCGTTTTGTCTCGGGCGTCGTTGAGGATGCGGTTGACCTGGTTCTCAAAGGTCTGGCGCAGGGTGTTCCCCGGGGTGGGCTCCAGTTCATTGTTGTGGGCCTTCTCGATGACCTGTCACCCCCCCGAGCCCCCCATTGTGATGTCACCGGGGTACCCCAAAACCCCGGGAGCACCCCAGGGTGTCTGGGTGGGGTGGGGGTGATGAAAACCACGTATGGAAGGG